AAACATAAAAGCAATAGAGAAAATTGATGAAACCAACAGCTGGTTCTTTGACAGGGTCAATAAACTGGACAAACTGTAGTGAAGAAAAGAAAAAAGAGAGAGAAAAGACACAAATTATCCAAATCAGGAATGAAATGGGCTACCGCTTCAGACACAACAGCCATTAGAAGGGTAATGAGAGAACACTAAAAACGACTCTACACACAATAAATTTGAAAGCTTAGATAAATGTAGTAATTCCTCAAAAAACACAAACTACGGCAACTCATCCAATTATGAGACAAATAATTAAAATATCCCCATAACTATTAAAAAATTGAATTCAAAATTTTAAAACTCTCAAAAAAGAAATCTCCAGGTTCAGATAGTTTTACTGGAGAATGCTTCCAAACATTTAAGAAAAGAATTAACACCAATAATACACAACTCTTCCAGAAAAATAGAAAAGGAAAAAACACTTCCCAATTAATTTCATGAGGCCAGTATTACCCTAATACAAAAACCAGATAAAGTCAATCAAACAAACAAAATAAAAAAAACCCATCCAGGGCGTCCAGCCTTTTGGCGTCTCTGGGCCACACTGGAAGAAGGAGAGTTGTCTTGGGCCACACATTACATATGTTGTGACACATAATCATATACACACACACACACACAAATCTCATAATGTTTAAGTAAATTTATGATTTTGTGCTGGGCTGCATTCACAGCCATTCGGGGCTGCATGTGGTCTGCAGGCCACACAGATGGACGCCCCTGAAACCAGTGACTCTCATGAATACAGACACAAAAACCTTTCATGAAATAATAAATAGAATTTAGCGATACATAACAAGAATTATATACCATGACTAAGTCAGGTTTATTCCATAGATACAAAACTAGTACAGTATTTGAAAATCCACTATATTAACAAGTTAAAGGAAAAAAACCCACATGATTATATTAATTGAGGCAGTAAAAGCATTTAATAAAATTCAACAGTCATTCATGTTAGAAACTCTCAGAAAAATAGCCATAGGAGGAGACCTCCTCAACCTGATATAATAGCTAATATTATACTTAATGGTGAAAGAGTAAATACTTTCCCGCTAAGGCTGGGAAAAAGACAAGGATGTTCACTCTCTACTTTCATTTGACATAGTTCTGGAAGTTCTGGCCAAAACAATAAGGCAATAAAAGAAAATAAAAGGCATACAACCTGAAAAGGAAGAAATAAAACTGTTCCTTTTTGTTGATGGCATGGGTGTCTACATAGCTCTACACAGGAAAGCCCAAGAAACCTACAAAAAACCCCTTCCCCAAAGCCAAAATGCCTCCTGTACCTAAAAAGTGAGTTTAGCAAGGTCCATGGTACAAAATAAACATACAAAAATAAGCTGTGCTTCTATATAATAGCAAAACCAAAATTTAAAATATAGTGCTATTTAGAATTGCTCAAAAAAATGAAATACTTAGGTATAAATCTAACAGAAAATGTACAGTTCTTATATCCTGAAAACTATACAATGCCGATGAAACAAACCTACAAAGATCTAAATAAATGGAGAGACGTAGTATGTTTATGAATTGGAAGACTTGACACAGTAATAACATGTTAATGCTCCCCAAATGGATAGAAAACTAAAGTGGGAGCAATCAGTCTAACCAAGTTGAAGCATCCCATTTACTATACAGCTACAGTAAGTAAGACTGTGTGGTGCTGGCAGACGGACAGACACACAGATCAATGAAACAGAAAGGAGAACCCAGAAGTAGATCCACATAAATATGCCCAACTGGTTTTTGACAAAGTTGAACATGCAGTTCAATGGAGGAAGGGTCATCTTTTCACAAGTGGTGCTTGAGCAACTGAACACCCATAAGCAAAAAGTTAATCTCAACGTAAGTCGCATATCTGACACAGAAATTACCTCAAAATGTATCATGGACTTAAATGTAAAACTTAAAACTATAAAACTTTTCAAAAAAAACTATGATAGAAGATCTTTGGGATATAGACCAGGCACAAAGTTTTTAGACTTGACAACAAAGCACGATCCATAAGAGGAAACACTAAAACTGGACTTAATCAAAATTAAAATTTTTTGCTTTTTGAAAGACCCTGATAGGAGGATGAAAAGACAGGCTACAGAGTGGGAGAAAATATTTGCAAACCATGTATCCAAGAAAGGACTAGTGGTTAGGATATATAAGGAACATGCAAAACTCAACAATTGAAAAAGCAAACAATTCAGTTAGAACAAAAGACAGAAACAGATTATTTCACTGAAGATATACAAATGGCAAATAAACACATGAAGAGATGTTCAAGATCATTAGCCATTAGGGAAATGCAAATCACAACTGCATGACACGCTACTACGTATTTGTCAGAGTGGCTAAAATAAAAAATGGCCATACCACCAAATAAATGCTGGTGAGGATGCGGAGGAATGGGATCACTCACCCATTGCTGGTGGGACTACAAAATGGTCCAACCTCTCCGGAAAACAGTTTGGCAGCTTCTTAAAAAAACACAAATGCAACTACCATACGGCCCAGCAACTGTATTTCTGGGCATTTATCCCTGAGAAGTAAAGACTTATATTCCCACAAAAATCTGTACACAAATGTATACAGCAATTTTCCTTGTAATAGTCAAAAAGCGGCGACAATCCAGATGCCCTTCAACTAGCTCCGGTTAGACTGTAGCATACCAGGGCATAACTACTCAGTAATGGAAAGGAACAGACTACCAATCCATGCAACAACTTGGTTCGATCTCCAGAGAATTATGCTGAGCGAAAAAGTCACTCCAGAAAGTTGCATACTATATGATTGATTCCATTTATATAACATTTATGAAATGACAGAATTATAGACATGGAGAACAGATTCGTTATTGCCAGGGTTACGGGGGGGATGAGGGCAGAAAGAGGATACGGCTTTAAAAGAGCAGCAGGCGGGATCCTTGTGATGATGGAAATATTCGGTATCTAGACTCTATGCATCAATGTCAATATCATGGTTGTGATTTTGCAGTATTGTTTCATAAGATGTTATCGTGGGAAACTGGGTAAAGCATAAATGGAATCTCTCCGTATTATTTCTTACAATACCATGTGAATCTATAATAATCTCAAAATAAAAAGTTTAGCCCTGACCAGTGTGGCTCAGTTGGTTGGGCATCATCCCCCAAAGTGAAAGGTTGCCAGTTAGATTCCTAGTCAGGGCACATGCCTGGGTTGTGGGTTCGGTCCCTAATCCGGGTGAGAGGCAGCCGATGAACGTTTCTCTCTCACATCGATGTTTCTCACCCCCCTTCTCCCTTCCCCTCTCTCTAAAAATAAATAAATAAAATCTTTTTAAAAATTAAAAAAATAAAAGAGTGTAATTGGCAAAACACTGCCTTAAAAATGTCAGGTTATAAAAGGATATGGGTAATTGCTATGTATTATTAAAAAAAAGATATAAGTATCTCAATTTAAAAAACTGAAATTAATTTCAGGTCCCATTTTACTGAGTCAAACTTTGGTTATGAATTGAGAAATGGAAGAGAAATGGATTTTCATTCACAAATCCCAATTCAATTTCCAGGAGACAAAACTATGAAGCTATAGACAAATCTATATACTTTAAAAACTTTAAGAAGGTACCAGAAAAATATATTCCTTTATAATAGTTTTAAAAATGTTATCTGGGTTCCTCAGAGAAAATATGGCATTGGTCATCAGAGCGCTTCCCTCACAGAGTAGCTTATTTCAGAAGGGCAGGTCACAGCCGCAATTAAAGGGGGCATAGGTAGAGTCTGAGGAGCTGACGTTGTTTGTGGTGGGCGAGGCTCGGGAAGCATTAGGACAGTACACAGAACCGGGAGATGTACGTACACAGGCGTTTTTACCTGGCCTCTTGACGTGGACTTCCTCATCCTGCATAAAAATCCTAGCTCTATCTTCTTTACTTAACTTCAAGTAAATCACATAATCTCTGCGCCACAATTTCCTCCTGCTCAAAAACAGGTAATATTTTTACCTCCCATCAAACAGGATATTTGCAAGGGAATAAATACCTGTACAGCATGGGAATGTTTGAAAGAAAGGTCCCCAGAAATATTATCTGCAAATGTGGTTCATTTAAAACATTTATAAGGCTATTTCATGTGAGGAAACATTGATAGTGGAAGATTACTATTTTGAAGAAGCCTGGAGAAAGACAAAGACAAAATGAGTAAGATTTAAACGAAGTCAACATCCCAGTTTATTTTCTTAGTTGTCTTCAGGTAACTGGTGGATTATTCAGTATTGCTAAAGGCATGCAGTACCCCAGCGTACTAGTGAAGCCATCTTAATAGGATGGATTTTCCACAGCAGGCTTTAAAAGTTTGAAAAAAACTAAACAAATAAATAACCAAAATCTCATAAGGCCGCAGATCCACTAGGGGCCTGGTGAAAAATGTTAACAGCATAGAAATCAGCAGTAATGCACTCAAATTTCATTTTACCTGAATTGCAGCACTAATTTAATTTTGTCTGGTATTTCAGTTACTCATTCAAGTCTGTCTGCCTCCACTTGAATCTAAGCACTTCGATTGCAAAAATCACAATTCACACTCATCTGTACAGTCCCATAGGCCATAACTTTGCATGTAGCCAGAATTCAGCAAATACCAAATTGAACAAACATGTACAAGTATAATCTATAACTCCCAGTTTAAAGGACTATACTTAAGGTGTCCCCAAATAGAGGTTGACCACTTGTTATTTATTAGCTTTAGCCCTGCAATTTATTGAACAATGTTATAATCACTGTCTTAATTTATAATAAGCTAATTATGTGAATGGAAGTTTTAACTGATAATCCAGAAGAGAGGTTTCAAAGATAAGTCCCTGAGCCCAGAAAGACATCAGCCAAGATGGTGAGAAAGTTTTAGCTGTGATTTCTACCACACATGACATGCTGCTTCTTGTCGATATTAGCTAATGGAATTTTAAACGTTTAATTTTCTAATCTTTACTCACCAGTGTCCAGTCTTGACTTGATATGCTGATATTTTGGGTTTTGTGGTATCCTTTTGGTCAGATACTAAAAAAAAATTAGAAATTCACAATAAATTGGGTTAATGTAAGAATAAGGGTAGCAAAGTGGGGAAAGGGTCAGACACTTAAAAAAGTTGAGCAAATGCTAAAATTTCACTGAATTTTAAGATGGAGAGACCTCAAAAAGTCCAACAATCCCTTCAAAATAGGATTGTTTGCTATAGCATCTCTACAGGTGGAGATGGGTATCTTGTTTCTTTCAAAGCATTTCCATCTTTTGTCAAAATAATTTCATAGTAGTGTATAAAAAAAAGGACTGGGAAAAAAGCTCTTAAAATTATTTCTGACATTCAGCTAAAATTTGTCACTAATTTCCATCCAGTCCACTGCTGCAAACCCAAATAGACACCCCTACTCTGCCCCAAGAAATCAGTTAAAATAGCTAAAGGCAGCTCTCTCGTTCTCCCTTTCAGGTTCACTTTGTATGGTGGAGTGCAGGCCCTCTTCTCTAGAGTCCCTCTAGATTTTTATCCACTTCTCCCACAGAAAAGTGGCGCATGGACGCAGACCTGAGCACAGGGCCCGAACGTTGTCAGGCCAGGGCCTGGACTGGTGCGCCTCCCCCGCTGCTGGCTGGGGGTCTGAGGCTCCACAGACACTGTTAGGACGGCTCGGCTCTCGGTGCAGCTGGGGCACATCACGGGTTTGGGGTAAGTTTATGGTCAGCAAAAATGCCTGCGTTGGGTCTTCCTTGTCCTGGACTCTGGCAGTGAATTCTCAATCCAACTTACCCATATGAAATTTTAGTGGCATTTTCAAAAGCCATTAAGCGAGGGAAGGCTACTGAATAAAGACACTACAAAATACAGCTGTAGGCTGTCTTCTGGCCTACAAGTATGAGAACCTTACGTTCAGTGACAGGTATACCAAATTAAAACTGGATAACAACTTTCCAGCTTCATCTTCTGCCACTCACCCACAGGTTCCCAGGCTGAAGTTGCCTGAATGTTCCCCAAAATGCGCCACATTTATTCAGATCTTCAGTCATAGCAAATGTCTGCCTACAATGCCTTTTCTCAGCCTGTCTTTGGGCAAAACTTCACTTCCTCTATAAGCTGTCCCAGGTGGAATTAGGTAGTTTCTTTTCTTTCTTGGCTCCCAGAATATGGACACCCTGTACTATCGTTTATACCTCCACCTTCTTTTCTAGTCTAGGATTTCCTTGAAGGCAGGAACAATAACCTACTCAAATTTGTATTTACCTAGGACTTAGTACTAGGTAGGTAACTTGACTGATATTCACTCAAGAAATGCATATCTAGAATGAGGAGTGAATTACAGCAACTGCCTGGTGGTCCCTTAGATGAGAACATCAAACATGAAAACTGTATCACTTGCTCTTGAAGAACATAGGAAACTACGGCACTTAGTCAACCACTCACAACTGCCATCTGCTATTTTAATGTCTAAAAAGAAAGGAAAAAAACTATCTCAAAATAAAAAGGTTGGTCCTTTAGTATTATTTAAAAACTCACTGACATTACTTATGCTTTTTATTTCATGCCAGGTAAGTAAAGCCTTCACCATGGATGCTTAGCACTGATCCTCAGACGTATGTCGGGGACCCCTGGGTCTTTTTATCCCGAGAGAAAGGTTTCTCCATCTGATCAGTAACCTGCTGCCTAGAAGAGAAAGTGATTCTAAAGCCAATTTCAATTCCCTCCTAGATGTAGATGAAGATTAAGATTCTTAAGTGAAAGGAAATATTCAAAGATTAAAAAAACTAATTCAAAGTCTTCTCCAGAGCAAGATAACACTGCAGCAAAAATAAAACAAACAAACAAAAAAAACACAAAAAACAGGGAAAACACGTGTCTGGCAAATTGAGCCAGGAACAGCTAATACTAGAATTCAGTTATCTTAGGCTAGAAAGTTTCTTTTTTTCTATTTTGCTCTCTGTATTTTTATAATTTCTATATGCTATTTCCTGTTTTCACTTTTATTTTGTTTTTCCCATAGTTGCCTAGCAAAGCTTCTTTTGAAAAATTCCAGGCTAGTCTCCGCTGAACCAAGGGGATTTGTCCATACCTAAGCCAACATAGCTGAGAAGTGAGGGCGTCCCTGGGGACCAGGTGTGGTGGCAGCAGAATGATGGGGGGAGTGTGGACAGCTGCAGCCACGGAGCCCTCCCCGCCCTGGTTTTCCCTTACACCGACTAATGAGAAATCCATATGCCGCAGTAGGAAAATGCAGTGTTTCTTTCCCATTTTGGTCCAACTTCTCGTTCCTGACTTTCTAGTACCAACCACAGTGTAAAATTATTTGTGCTCTACTCTGAGCAAAGCGCCGTAGGTTTTATGGAACTGCCATACTTTTTTCATTAAAATTCTTGCTTTGGGGTGACTGTTTCTTGACCTACTGACCAACTGGCTTTTTTTTTTTTTCAATTACATAAACACGATGGGATGGTGGAAAGTGAAAGAGCTGAAAAAGAAGCTGTTTCAAGGAAAACCATTCATTCAACAAAGCCTTATTGGGCACCAGCCATTCATTCAGGGGACATTTATTGGTGCCTTCTAGGAGCAAGCCACTGTGCTGAGAACACAGAGGTACAAAAGTCTTAGCCATCCAGCTCTCACTGATGCTGGAAAGGAAGACGAGTGAACAGAGAGAAGACACGCTGCACAATAAACAAGGAGAGGGAAGCAGAGGATACAACAACAGAGGCCTGTAAGATTGGCCCCTAAATCAGACCAAAGAAAAAAGTCAAGAACCATTTCCTGAGGGCGACTTCTAAGCTGAAATCTGAGACCCGGGCTAGTTAGCCAAGCTAGAGGAGTAGTGGGTGGGAGCCACAAGGTCCCTGCTAACTGCTAGACAGAGAAGCTGAGAAGGTTCATTTCTGTGGCATTATTACAGGCTCTTTGAGGGCAACCATAGGGGGCAATATGGTTGGAGAGACAGAGAGGAGGAGGTGCTAAACAGTGTTGTATCCATGCTAAGAACTCTGGATTTTATCGTATAGATAACTGGTTCTCAAACAAGGGCAACTTTTCCCCCCTCCCCGCTCCAAGGGACAATTGTCAATGTTTGGAGATATTTTAGGTTGTCAGAACTGGGTGGTAGGTGGGCTACTGGCACTTAGTGAGTAGAGGTGAGGGATGCTACTAAACATCCTACAATGACAGGAAAGTCCTCATAACAAAGAATTAGCTGGCCCCAAATGTCAATAGTACTGAAGTTGAAAAACCCTAGTGTGGGTGATGGGAAGCCACTGAAGACAGTTTCAGGAGGAGTGATGGGATTATGTTTCTGTTTTAGAAAGATCGCTCTGGCAGCACTCAGGGGAGCTTTTAGGATCATAGTCAAGAATGGACGCATGTACCTTGGCTGTGTAGCTTCACTGATTGAGTGTCCCACCCACAAGCCAAGACTGTGAGGTGACCACAGATCAGGACACATAAGAGAATCAACCAATGGATGCACAAATGCATAAATAAGTGGAGCAACACATTGCTGTTTCTTTCTCTCTTTCAAATCAATAATAAAAAAAAAAGAATGGAGATACAAAGAGAAGAGGTAGTTGTGCTAAGAGGATCTGCGGTTCTAAGGAAGCAGCAGTGGAGGTGAGGAGGAAGAGACAGTTTCAAGAAATCTTTAAGAAGTAAAATCAATGATTTGAAACTGACTAGTGGAACAGGGGGAGGACAGTGGTACCATTCCCCCCAAAAGGGACTTACAGAGGAAGCATACATGGAAAAACAGGATGTGTCCCAGGAGGGTGTGGAGCAGGCTGAATTTGAGCTGGCTGTGGGTTATCCAAAATGGAAGCGGTGCGCTGGCTATTTGGGTCTGGAGATCAGGAGAGGCCTGGGCTGGAAAAAACAAGAATTGGGGGCTGTCAGCAAAGGGGCAGCAGGGGAAGCCACTGGAATGGACAAACCGCTGCCAGAGAGTGTGTAGCCTCAGAAGGAAAACCCCACCATTTAAGGTCAGGTGGAGAAAGGTGTCATGGATGAGACTCACAAGAGGCCAGGAGAAAGTGGGTCATGAAAATTAGAGTTTCAGGAAGAAAGGAGTGGTCATCGGAGATAGGTGCTGCCAACTCAGCGAACAAAAATGCAGGTCCAGTAAGAGAACAATGGAAACACGGAGCTGGACTGCGTAAAGCGGGACGCTGCCGATGACCCTGGTGGATGCGGATACAGAAACTGACAGGAGCAGAAGCGGAGAGAGCAGGTTGAGGAGACCCGAGGGGACGCGGGGAAGAAGTCGACAGTAGCCAGATGGTCTCTTCTTTTTCTTTCCCCATGAGGGTTGCTAAGGAATGGTTTTTGTTGTTATTTCTGTTTTGTAAGAAAGGAGAGGTTTGAAGATGTTTATAGGCTCATGGACTAGGTAAGAGGGGTTTGAAAATGAGGCAGGAAAGTATGGATGGAAACAGGGAGTGGGAGAGGGTGAGGCCCAGAGCCCAGGTGGAAGGGCCAGCTTTGGAAACACTGTATTTAAGATAAAGATAGAAGATAGGGGGACCAGACCAAGTTCTCATCAGGAGAGAGAAGGTGTGGTTCATGTTCGTGGTATTGTTACAGGCTCTTTGAGGGCAACCAAAAATGCCAAAGACCCCTGTGAGAGCTTCCACCTCAGGACGGTCAAAAGGCAATGCCCTGATCAGCCACTCCCTCCCAGCTCCTTAACTTCCGCTCGGCTTTCACGCCCCAGCACAAACTCATCTTCCAGGAAGACCCCTCCGGAGGCTCCAGGCTGATAGAAATCGCTCTCCGGCCGGACTGTCCCAGCACTTTGCACCTTTCACACTCCTCACTCCTCCTACGAGACGTCTGTAGCTGTTACCAGGCCTTGCCCTAGTGTGACAGCAGTAAGGGCTGCTAAGTGGGAAGGTGGTTCTGAGGCCTGAGCCACACACATGCAGGGTGCCTGCTAGTGCCGCGTGAGCAGCACAGACGCTGAGGACTCCAGGAATGTGGAACAAAGAAAGAGCTCACACACTTGGGGGTGAAAAGGGCGAATTCATGCAGGAAATAGCACTGGGGCTGTGTTTTAAGGGTTGAACTTCTATGGAGAAAAAGATGGGGGAAAAGGATGGGAAAAGTATTCCACATGGAGAAAATTTTAATAGCAAAACATCTTTAAAAGCATGTGTAAAGAACAGCAAATTTGCTGTTCTATTTGCTGGAGAAAGTCCAAGAACAACAGCAACAATAACAAAGGTAATTGCTGCTAACATTTACTGAGCACTTAACTATGTTGTCAGGCACTCTCTAAGCATTTACCTCCATTATCTTATTTAATCTTCATAACCACCTGTGAGGTAAATATTATTATCTTCATCTTACATATTAGGAAATGGAGGAAAAGGGAGGGAGAATGACTTACCGAGGTTACTGAGCTTCTAAGAGTGGTGGAAGCCGGATTTAAAATGGGCAGTTTGGCTCAGAACTTCAACTCTTAAACACTCCATTGCAGCCTCATTTGGGCAAGAGTTCTGAATATGGGGTCCACAGATGGGTTTTAGGAGGTCCATGGGTCCTATGAAACTAACATACAAATTTCTGGGGGAAGGGTCCTTGGCTTTCACCACACTTTCAAAGGAGCTTATAACCTCCTGAAAAGAACCACGGGTGCATGGAACCCCGTGGTAAGACCACGTGGATAGGAAGACTCCAAGTGCAGAACCCTGAAGGGACTAGGCCCTGAAGACAATGAGCCATGAAAATACTGAGCTGTGAGCCATACAATCAAAGGAGTATTTTAGCAGAGTGCTAACATGCGCAAGTAAGACTGGGTCTGTGATTACACGGCTGTGGGAGAAGAAAGGAGAAAATGGGAAGTCGACAGTGGGATTTTTCTAAAAGAAAATCACCAAAAAAATGAGATTGAATCACAAATCACTAAAAAAATGAACGAGCTTTTCTGACTTCCCACCTTTCTTAAAATGGAACTCACACAGTTGTTCACATTTCCATTGCAACATGTGTGGTAAGATTTACATTTAAAAGATTTTAAAAAAATACTATTATACATTTTGTTCAGAATTTTTCTACTCACTTCCCTTATAGAGAGGAAGTCCATAAAATGAAGGGAATGGGTGTGAATTTTGAAAGCCTCATTTAAGGCAATCTCACATTTAAAATAGATCTTTTAAAGGAGAACATTTTTCTTTAATGGGCGTTTTAATCTGGTCCAATTCTACTGATTTCAAAAAACAACCCTGACCCAGGATCCTGGGTTGCCCAGGATTTTTAATCTATAGGTTCTCTGTGGACCAAACATTTAGGTTTAATTCCATTTATAGGCTGCTGATTTCTCAATAGTGAACACCATCCTTGACATCTCCCGGCTCTCCCAGCTCAGATATATATTCATTTACTCATTCAACAAATATTTAAGGAACAACTGCGGTGTGCCAGGCAGTGTGACAATGCAAACAAGGACCCTCTTCTGTTCCTGTAAGTGTGCCAGAAATAAACAAGCAAATAAAAGAATTACAGACCATTATCTACTGGCTGAAGACAGCACATTGAACAAGTATGTCTAATTTCACTTACTCCCAGAGCCTCAGTAAAACCCCATTGGAAGGACATTATTTTAAGGACCTAATGCCCAAAACACAAGAGAATGGGAGAAGTGACAGCAATAGATTTCTGAAATCTAGAAAGCACACCAACAAGTGAAAATGACTCAATGGACTCAAAGTCAAACGGAAAGCCAAAAACAATTCTTAAAAGGCTTAGGAATTGACAGCCCCTGGCACCTCCAAAGGAGGACAGAACAGTAGCTGAAACAAGGAAGGCTGGTTGAAAACTGAGTAAGAAGCAACTGAATCTCTAAAACCTTCTCCCTGCTCTGCCGTGGGGTGACTGCCTCTCCCCCACCATGGCACATATCTATACATCTATTCCCTGGAAAGGATTTCTGGCTTGCGGGGGCGGGGGGGAGGGGGGCTCCAGGCACAGGGAAAGGTTGAAAGACATTTCTGAAAGTGGGGGGATTAAGTAAATGATGCATACTAGTGTTGAGATTTGGCCCCTGGTCCTGATTCCTCCAGGAATTCAACCAGGCTTTTACTCTCAGGAGAGCGGGCTGCTCTGAGGTACAGGGACACCCTGAGAGAAAAGAGATGGAGGGGCCCCGGGGGAGGGAGGCCTCCAATCGTGGCTCAGTGAAAGCTTTCTGCCATTAAGCTCATCATCGCCAAGCCCCTCCCAAGCATGTGAAGATCCCAATCACATTTTTAAGTCTCCTACATGAAAACATAAACTAACAATTCAGAAATAAAAGAAGCCTGAGAACATTGCTATAGACTGAATTATGTCCCCCAAAAGTCATATATTGAAGCCCCGATCCCCAAGGTTACCGTATTTGGAGACAGGGCCTTTAGGAGGTAATTAAAGTTAAATGAGGTCATAAGGGTGGGGCACAAGTCCAATAGGATTAGTGTTCTTATAAAAAGAGACACCAAAGGGCCTGTTCCTTTTCCACACCTGCACAGAAAGAAGAGGTTATGTGCACACATCTGTAAGCCAGGAGAGAGCTCTCACCAGAAACCGAACTGCCTGGCGCTTTGATATTGACCTTTCCAGTCTCTCAAACTATGAGAAAAAATGTCTGTTGTGTAAGCCATCCAATTTGTGTTATTTTGTTATGGCAGCTCAAGCTTTCTAATACAAATATCTCTAACAAATCAAAAAGAAAAACAGCAATTTGGGGAAAATGGAGACTATGTAGGGGAAAAAATATTTAGAAACACTATTAGAGAAATGAAAACACACATCCACACAAAAATTTGTACAGGCACATGCATTTAACGACGAGTGTATATTCTGAGAAATGCATAGTTAGGTGATTCCATCATTGTGCAAACATTGTACAGTGTACCTACACAAACCTAGATGATATAGCCTACTCCATAGTTAGACTATGGTATGTAGTATATACTGTTTTTGTATATATTGAGACAATTTCTAAAAAACCTAAGTGTAAACTTAACATTCGACCTAGCACCTGTAATCCTAGGCATCTATCCCAGAGAAGTGAAAATTAACATCACACAAATAACTGTACCCCAAAGTTCATATCTTTATTTGTAATAGCCCAAAACTGAAAGCAATCAAATATGCCACAACAGTTGAATGGTTAAACAAACTGTTATATATCCATACCACAAAACACTGATCAGCAACGAAAAGGAATGAACTATTGCTACAGGCAACAACTTGGATGCATTATCCTGGTGAGGAAAAGCCAATCTCAAAAGGTCACATACTGCTTGATTCCATTTATGTAATATTCTCAAAATAACAAAATTGCAGAAATGGAGAACACATTAGTGGTTGCCAGGGGATATTGTAGTGATAGAATAGTTCTGTATCTTGATTGCAAAAACTACACATGTGCAAATCTTGATTATATGAAATCTACACATGATAAAAAGGCCTAGAACTATACATACAAAGTATAAATGCCACTTTTCTGGTTTGATATTATACTATACTTATGTAAAATATTATGATTGGGAGAAACTGGATGAAACTGGATATGGGACTACTTTGTACTATTTTTGCAAATTCCTGAGAATCTATATTTATTTCAGAATAAAAGTTTTTAAAAAGGACATCAGAGTCTACAGCAGAGCTCTTGCAAATTAAAAACATGATGGCAGAAATTAAAAGCTCAGTAGGAAGATTGGAAGATAAAGTTACACAAATCTCCCCCAAAAAGCAAAATGACAAAGATGTGGCAAACAGGAGATAAACTTTTAAAAAATTAGAGAGCCAGTTATATAGATGCAACATCAGGACAATGAATTTAAAAAAGAGGATGGAGAAAATGGAAGGGAGGAAACTCAACAACAAAATAATTCAAGAAAATATTACAGAACAAAAAAAACTTGAGTTCTTTGCGCCCACCCACATAGGTGAAGATAGACTCAGAGCAAGGGCTATCTTTGTGAAAGATCTTAACACTTGGGACAGAGAGAAGATTCTACAAGCTTCCAGGAAGGAAAAATTAAGTCACATACGAAGGAACAGAATGGCTTTGGACTTTTCCACAGCAGCACTGGGTACCAGAAGACTACAAAACAATGTTTCTAAAATGCTAATGATTTCCATCCAAGAATTCTATACTCAACCAAACACTCAGGCAACTAAATATGAAGGTAAAGTAATAATATTTTTAGACATGCCTAGCATTTTCAACATACATAAAAATATTTATTTATTTATTTATTTTTTATGCACTCTTTCTCAAGACACTCAGGAAACTGTGCTCCAGTAAAACAAGAGCATAAGCTGGACACCTTCATTTAGGAGACAAATGTATAACCACACACCCCTGCTCCTCCCAGTTCTTTCACCCATATTCCTGATTTCATTAGCATGGCATCAGCACTAGCGACTAGTAACCCAAGCTGGGAATCTAAGTCACCCATCACTCTCTCACTTCTCCAAGCTAATCCTGAAGTCTTGATGATTTTACCCGCTAAAGAGTTCTCAATTCTAACCCTGTTCTGTGGGCTCAGTCTAGGTCTGCAACATAATAACCACCCAACCAATTTCCCTATCCCCCGTCTTGGGCTCCTCAAACCCGTTCTCCACAAAGTGTCTCAACCATGTGCCTAACATGCAAATCTGACCATGTCACTTCTGACTTAATAAACCTCCTCAAACGTTTCTTGAGTTCTGAAGAGCAGCCAAGATAAAGACGAGGCAGTTTGCCACGCTCCACCCGTCCACGGTAGAGACCGTTACCCCCCGGGGCACTCTGCCGCAGAGCCTAAACTCGGCCTCACAATGTCCTCAACACGGCTCCCAGGCATCCGTCATGAGCCGAAACAGTGTGCACCTCCTGTTCGGGAGAGAAGCCGGGAGTTTGGGCAAGGCTCAAAAGGCCCTTCCAGACTTCGCTCCTGCCTTTCACACCTCCCTAGCGTGACTCCGGCTGTCCTGTCCATGGTGCTTCTTTGTGTGGCTCCTAGACTTGCCATTTCAGGTCACCTCCAGGGCCATCCTCTCCCTAAGTTGACTCCTCTTTTTCCTCTGTACCCTCTTAACGTCGTGTTCCCGACCACACTGCATTCCAATTCTGTCCACAAGTTTTCCTCACTAGACTGAACTTATTGAAGGGCAAAGGCCTTGGCTTTCTTTGTTTCTTGCATCTACTCCAAGGTGGCAGGGTAGGGGGGCGGGCTATAAGCACTAGAGGAAATTAAATAAACACAAATGCAGCAGGACACTGGGGGTGAGGAACATACAATAAAGGAAACAGTCCAATGGGGAGGGAATAAAACTAATGTCATATTTTGCGTCCTTTCCCAAAGGCTTGGTCTGCTTATTCCTGTTTTTTTCTGTACCCCCATACTAAGAAATGATGGCTCTTTTCTGTTTGGTTCCTTTAGTGTTTGGGGACTTCAGTAGTATGTTACTTATTTCGTATCTGCCACTCCTAGACTATAAGCCGTTTGTGGGAAGGGACTGTGTCTTTATGCACTTCGCTCCTCTGGGCGACAAATTCCGCCGTACAGTGTGTACGTGGGCGCCGGTGGCCCCTCAGCACAGGATGGCAGACAGCGCTCCGCATCCCCCAGGCCCGCCCCTCCTCCTTCCTCCCGCCAGACCCCTCCTCACGTCGGCCGCTTCCCGCCTTCCGGGCGGCGGAAGTGGCCGGCTGCTCTTCCCTGCCCACGTGGAGCCTTTTCCGGTTCGCCCGCCCCCTCCGCCTCTCCGATCCGGACCTGACCCTCACCTCAGGATTCCCAATGTGCCTCCGGACAGACATATTTGCTCCAACCGACCACGCTCAAGGTTCTAGCCTCACCGGCTGCCTCTAACCCTAGCTTCCTACCCCCACAATTTCGCTCAGTCGCCTCCCTACAACCTCTTCTCCGATTGGCCTGCCTTCTCCGGCCAGCCAATGGAGGCCCCGTTTACTCCCTCTTCGCAGGGTCACGGTAGAGTGCGAGTCGGCTCAATGGTTGCCAAGGGCAACGCGGGACGCTGGCGGACGAGGCCTTTTGTGCTCTCCGCTGGGCCCCACTGGCTCTAACTTGAGCGCGGGAAGAGGGGCGCGGGGGAGGGGCAGACTGGCGCCTGCGCGTGGACAGCTGCGCAGATCCCCGAAGGGGGAAGGGGCTGGAAAGCTGGGAGGGGGGTGGTGGTGGCGGTTCGGCAAACAAGTGTTCTAGCAAATGTAGAGGAACAAATACGATACAGGGAGCGCGCGCACACACAAACACTACTACCCCCACCCCTTAAGACTATTTTAAACATCTGGACTACTTCTTCCACCATAGGGAACAGACATGGGAGAGGATTTTTCAGCAGGGATGGGAATCTGTAATTTATTATTTTCAGGTTAAGTTAATATGCAAATTATGCAAAATATCGTGTGTAAATACAGTCATTAGCGTTGCCTTAAAAGCTTTTAGCTAGCTAGAGAACGGCAGCCTTAATTGCAAAGTGCGTACACCATTCCGTGATTCATCATTCATTTAACAAATATTTAATAAGCACCTTATGGGAAAAGCTGCAGAAGGTTTTGTGGAGGATGGGAGGATGACTAAAACCCAATCCCGTTGTCATGGCAACCATTGTGACTCCTGCCATCAGCCACCACCTGTTCTTATTCCAGATCTGAAAATTAAGTCCTAGCACCTTTACAAAACAATCACACACACAGTTTGACTTGGCTCCAAAATGTCCCACCAAATCCATCAAAATTATTGTTTCCTTTTACATGGGAGGAACAACACAGTAACCCTTTGTTCTTTGCTCTAAGTTGTTTTTCCAGGGACTAAGAAAGGTTACTCGCTGGTATTCCTGGCTCTCTGCTTGTGAATAACAGCATACATATTTGAGAGTATGTGCAGATGACCCGTTCGGCAACATGGCCTCGCAGGCCCTGTCTTCTCAGACATTTCATTTCAGCAGTGCACCCTGAGGGTTGTCAGAGCTGGTTGACCTCCAGGATCTTATGCTGGACACAGCTATCTCTTGCACTTTCGAGGCTGCTCACTGAGTTTTGCCTGAACTTCCCTAGTAGTGTTCGCCAGTCTTCTCTAAAAATCTCTAGTTTCTCACCCCTCCACTAGAATAAAGAATAGTTTCGAGGCTGCCAAAAACTGGGGAGGGAGCGGTGGGGAGGATTTTATCTAGAACATTTTGCATAGCAAGCAGAAACTTCCAGGCACATTACAGCTTAGAATGTATGTTTACCCTTATCCTGTGCACTGTGAGGATGGGGTGATGATAGAGGTTATGGGTAGAATAAACAGGAGAAAGGGAAAGCAGAGAGGAAGATAATAAGGAACTAAGAGGTGGTGAGGAGAGGAAAAGAGATTTAAAGACATTTGTTGGTAAAATTAAGTTATTGTATTCATGAGAAAAGGTAGGGATGTAAGGAATGGAATCACAATAATTTTTCTATCTTGGGGGATGGAGTAGATGAGTGATAATTCATTAATCAAGTTCAAGAACAATGAAACATACGTGGAGATGACAGAAATATGGGTCCTTGGGTACAGCTGTCAGAGATGTCCACTCTGTTGCCTGGGGTGGGGTTTCGAAATCTGTAAACACATGGTCCCCAGCCCCCATCCCTTGCCTCTGGAAGCACAGAGTCCAAAGGCCACACCTTTAGAGACTGTGCTCTAGAGAAATCGCCCTACATTTCCTTTACATTTTGCCTCAATGGAAACTTTGGAAAGCTTAGAGCTCTAAATCAAAAGGCTTTTTAGCATCATGAGTTTCTTTTTAGGACTCCCTTTGGGTCCTGCTAGAGCAAAACTGCATCAAAATTAAAGCAAGTTGCTTACCCCAAATATGAAAAACAGTAAATGGCACAAAAAGATAATTTATAGAAGAAAAACACTCGATACGCATATGAAGGAATGTCCAACTAAAAATGAAAGAAATACAAAACCAAACAGCTGGATCCCATTTTTCAATTAACAAATGGACAAAGGTTTTTTGTTTTCTCTCTTTTTTTAATGATAATGCTCAGTGCCATGCTCATACATTGTTAATGTGAATAAAAAGAAGTGTGACCATTTTGAAAAGTAATTTGAAAGTGAGTATGGAGCAGCTCTCATATCTTAATATTCTGAGGGTTTCTCCTAAGGAAATAATCAGAGACATGCATAAAGATTACAGCCAGACATTTACTAGAATTTTATTTAAAATGATAAAAAGTTGAAACAACTTAATTGACCATCAGTTTAAAAATGATTAAAATAAATGATGGCATATCCATACAATGCACTATTATGACATAATATTAAGAAGTGTGTTTTAAGGAATAATTAAGGCAATGGAGAACTGTTCCTGATACAGTAAATGGAAAGGGCTGGAAACAATTTTTAATTTAACAAAATCCTGATTTGTGAGGGAAAAGCAGGTATCCATACAAAAAAGAGTTTTAAAAATATTTAAAATGTAAACCATCTCTGGATTACACAATATGAATATTTGTTTTATTCTTTACACTTTGTGTGTTTTGCAGATTTTCTTCAGTGACTATGAATTAATTTTACACCTTAATAAAAACATTCACCCCCTAAGAAATAAAAAACCTGATTCTGACTTAAGCCTGAAAATTGTGTGTGGCATTTGTCTGGGCCGATTTAGACCTGAGCTGGATTCTGTGTAATTTCACTATTTGAAGTGCAGTTCGCCTGTTCTTGGCAGTAAATGACTCTCCAAGCACTTGAGTAAGATCATTGCAATCAGAGTTGTAATTGCTAAGAGGTTCAAGCTTTGTTTGTAAGAGAAGAAGTTCTGATTCTTTTCTTTCAAAGTTCCTACTTCCACTGATTAATCTTATTGTTCGTGAAGTTAGAAGTGCTCTTGTGAACTTCCATTTGCTTGATGTCTTCGTTTTAACTCTGTACATGTTCCAAAAGCTTTTAGTTTTGGCAGAGTTGGTGGGTATCCCAGATAGGTAAGTGTGACTGGTTTAAGGGTAGTTAGTGTTTTAGGTGCTGCTGAGCTTTGTCAGTGGGCAGTAAGGTGTTAAGTCGTCTGGTCTTCTGAGCCTAAAACCCTTCGGCCCCTTCTTTACCCTGAATCCATCTCCTTGTCCAGCAGTCATCCAGTGGGCTCTCCATCCCCCGTGCTTAGCTCTCAGCCTGGTTTCCCGATCAGAGCCCAGGACTCTCCCCTCAGACCTGCCTCAAGATGCTTCAGGAATATGGGCCTCGGCCCCCTTCCTTGGTTTCATTTACCTTCGTTCCCTAAATGACATACACTTCCAGGCGCTTAAGGAAACAATTCTACCTGATTCAGTTCAATCCTGGGGTCCTTCCTCTATACCCCAGAAATGGAACAGCAGCTGAGGCAGTGAACCCACGGATCCACAGGCCTCATCCTGTGATAAAGTCCCTGCAGTTCTGGTAACAATTTGGTGGCTTTCTACCTGGTGGTGGAATGTGGCCGGGGGAGGAGCACGCCAGCCTGTGAGCAGAGGGCTGACCCTCGTCCGCCCGCGGCTGGCTCAGGCCAGACGTGAAGTACGGGGCCTGGGCCCACGGCCCCAGCAGTCCCTGCAGCCCTTCCCAGGGGACTAACACCTACCTCGCAGGATTTCTTTGGGACTATCACAGGGCACACTGCTTTCTGGTGAAACAAAGGAATCGTGTTCTGGTTGCTTAGTGAATGGGGTTGTAATACCCACATGTGCGGTTCTGCAGCCACTTTTGAGAGCCACATGGGACTCCTCGCTGTGGTAGAAAAGGCGTATGATGTTCCCTCCCAGAGAGATCAGAGATGTCCTTGACCATCTACGATCGAGCCCAGGGCATTCTATTGTCACATGCCACATTCTGCTTCTGGCGTAGAACAGTGCTGTCACAGACCCAGTTTCAAGGAGACACTGAGTAGCCAACCTGGGTCTGCCCCAGGGGGATGGAGGGGGAGCCAGTGTTGGGAGGCAACTGTGTCATTCTGGGCGCACTGGACAGCGGAAGAGCCCTTGCCCTGTGAAAAGGCCAGTGCATGTGGCTCAAGTGTGGCAGATGCTCGCTTTTCTCAAAATAATCTAGAAATGTAGGTTTTCATGTGAAATCTGTAGGCCCCTAACTTGCAAGTCCTGTGCTAGATTCTGCAACTATAATTCCTGTCCTTTGTGACTTTTAAATAATCAAGATCACACCCATGGTAAAAGCAACGGGAACTCTGCTTCCACTTGGGACGTAGCAAGCTGCAAGAGAGATTACTCCCATCCTGCCAATTAGGAAAAATGGGTAGTCTACAAAATCCTAAGTTTTCTTGAATCCTTCAGAGAGCTGAGAGGACGTAACCAAGTCACAAAAAGGGTCAAGCCCTACTGAGGGGGGTAGAGACACACAAACTGTTTTGCGTATGGCAGAGCACAGAAGGAAAGGCAAATACCGTCGAAGTGGGTAAGAAAAAAGTCAGCTAAAATTTCACTAATTCCTAAAGGAATAATAGCCTAGCAGAAGAAGAGGCATAACTGTTTCCAGGCATATATATTGTTTACCTCAGTCTCCATTGGCTTCTACTCAGAATGTCCAGGATTCACTAAAAAATTACGACAATAGAAAAAGAAAGAAAAATGAGAGGGAGCGGAGGGTGGCTTATTATGAAGAGACAAAGCAATGAATAGGACTGTATCTCAGCAGTAAGGACACGTCAGGTAGGGACTTCTAAATAATTATGACTAATATATTAAAAGATCTAGTGGAAAGGTATGCATGAATATATGGAGCATTTTTGGAGGATAGATGGGAAACTATAAAAAGGAAAGGTGATTTTAAAAATACAATGTCAAAGAAGAGGAATCCTTGTAATAGAATCACCAGAAGACTAGCTTCTGCTAATGAAATATCTGTGAAATTGGAGAAGGTGCATTAGACATTATCCAAAATGAAACCCAAAAGGAAAAGGGTGGGGGAGAAGGGAACAGAAGCTAGAATTTTAAACCATGGGGAAATAATTAAGGAGAAGACAGAGAATGGGGCAGAAGAAACACTGAAAGATATAATGACCAAGAATTTTCCAAAATTAATGAATGACAGCAAACTACAGATCTGAGAAGTTCAGAGAACTTCAAATAGCTTAAATAACCAAATCCAAAGAAAATCAAAATAAAAGATACCTATGCATTCATCATAGTCAATCGGCTGAAAACCAAGAATTTCTCTTTTTTGAGAAAAATCATGAAAGCAGACAAAGAAAAAAGAAACATTATATATGCAAGAAGAAAGTTACAGCAAACTTTTTGACAATAACTGTACAAAGCAGAAGACAATGAAGGGACACTTTTTACGTGTGGAAAGGAAAGGATATGTCACCTTAAGAATTTTATAGCCAGCGCCCGCTTCCACAGCACATACACTAAAATTGGGACGACACAGAGATGCGCAGGGACCCTGTGCGAGGATGACACGCAAATTCGTGACGCGTTCCATGTTTTTGTATATTCCTATATAGTTAAATGTTTAATATAGTCATATTGTCAATATTTACTTTATAGCTTCTGGCTTTGAATATTTTACCTGAGGTCATGAAAAATATTAATTTTAGTTTTTTCTAAAACTCCTTAGATTCTACATACTGATTTTTAACTCATCTGAATATTCCTTGTATAATGTGTGAAATAGGGTTCTATATTGGTTTTATTTCAAGTAAGAGTGGTCCATGCACCTTATTTGTTGAATAAACCTTATTTTACCCATTTATTTGAAATATCAACTTAATCATATATTACATTGTCAGACAGCTATATATATAAAAAAAGAATTTTATAGTCAGTGTAAATATCTTTTTCTTCTTTTTATATTTTATTTTTAAAATTTTTCCACATTATTTTTAAAAATTATTTGTTTTTAGAGAGAGGGGGAGGGAGGGAGAAAGAAAGGGAGACAAACATTGATGTGAGAAAGAAACCTCGATTGGTTGCCTCTCACATGTGCCCCAACGGGGATTCAACCTGCACCCCAGGCATAGGCCCTGTCCGGGAAGCGGGAATTGAGCCGGCAACCTTTTGCTTTGCGGGACGATGCCCTTTCGCTTTCCTGAGCCGTGCTGGCCTGGGCTACGTTATTGTTTAATTGTATTTTTTTCCATTACCTTCCCCCCCCCATTACCCTCTTCCATCTTCACCCATTCCCCTTCCTGCCAGTCGCCACACTGTTGTCCATGTCCATGAGTTCTTCCTCTCTCTCTTTTTTGGCTGCATCCCTCCACCCTCAGAGCGTAAATATCCTTTAAAAATGATCGTTATACAGGCTTTTTCAAATAAACAGAGATGGAAGGAATTCACTGCCAATAAGTCCTCAGTACACAAAATGTTAAAGGAAGTTCTTTATGGCAGAAAAAGTATGATACCAGTGGAAATTTTGACATATACAAATGAAGAGCAATGAAAATGATAAAATGAGGGCAAATATAAGAGATATTTTCTTTTTATTTTATTCTCTTTAAAAGAAAATATACTGTGTCAGTACAAATAATAATAATGTGTTATGGAATTTATAACACATAGAATTAAAATGCATGACAACAGGATCACAAAGGTTAGGAGAGGAAATTGAGGTGACTGTTGTAAGGTTTCTAAACCATATATGAAGTGGAAAATTATTTCAAGGTAGACTATAATAAATTTAGTATGTATATCATAAACCCTAGAGCCACCACTTTAAGAAAGAGTCATAACTAATAAGCAAATAGCAGAGATAAAATGGATTAATAGAAATACTCAGTTATTCCAACAAGGCAGGGGAAAAAAGGAATAAAGACTAAATAGGACAAATAGAAAATGAATAGCAAGATGTTCAGGTTAAATTAAACCATATCAATAGTCAAATATAAATGGTCTAAACCAGGGGCATAAATTATGGCTCTCAGCTCAAATCTAGACTGCAGTCGGTTTTTGTAAAGTAAGTTTTATTGGAACTGAATCATTATGTATACATATGAAACTAATATAATGTTATATATCGATTTTATCTCAATTTTAGAAAAAGAAAAAACAAAGTAAGGGAGCAGCCAGCTGAGTCTCAATTGAAAGAATTGTGAAAAATAATGAAATACATATTTTTCAAATCCTCACCCAAGGACATTTTTCATTGCTTTTCTAGAGGGAGAGGAAGGGAGAGAGAAAAGCATCAATGCAAGCAAGAAGTGCCATTTGGTTACCTCCCATATGTGCCCGGACCAGGGATTGAATCTGCGTCTTTTGGTTGTGGGATAACGCTCCAGCCAACTGAGCCACACTGGCCAGGGCTAGAATAGTTGTTTTAAGCTAAAAAAAAGTTTTATTGGAACATAGCCGTACCCGTTAATGTATGCATTGTCTGTGGCTTCTTTCTCACTCCGGTGGTGGAACTGAGCAGGGCCACAGAGGCTGGGTGACTTACAAAACCTAAAATGTTTACTATCTGTTCCTTTATGGAAAAATTTCACCAACTCCCAATATAAACACCTCAATTAGAAGTTAACAATTGTCAGACTGGATAAAGAAAAAAACAACTATTTGTTATCTATAAGAAATATACTTTACACATAAAACTACTGATTGGTTTAAAGTAAATGAATGTAAAAAACTGCAAACACTAAATGAAAGAGAGCTGGGTGAGGGAGAGGAAATTCTGTTCAACAAATGGTGTTGGGAAAACTGGATATACACACATGAAATAATGAGGTTGAACATTACATTATATTCAAAATATAGTGTTTGAGTTCATACACTACATGAACTCAAAGTGGATCAAAAACCTAAATGTAAGAGAGAAAACTGTGGAACTCTTAGAAAAAATGTAGGGGGAAAACTTCATGATATTGAAACTGGCAATGCTTTCTTTCTTTCTTCCTTTTTTTGCAATTATCAAGGCAATTTATTCATCTCTCAAGAAAATCTCATAGTCCAGTGCAAATCAGAAAAACAATTACAACACTCAAATATCTCTACATTCCCAAAGAGCAGTAATTCTCCGTATTCTTGCATTTATGACTGATTTATCCTAGAGTTCTGTAGTCATTGGCTGGGCCTTCCCCCACACAATTTGTTTGCTTCCTGTCAATTGTTTTATAAAATCTGGTGTTTTATTGGTTGTTTTTGCTCACAACCCTCTCAGCTCACCTAATACCTTTAACAAAAAAAAATGCGTGTTTCTTACCCAAATTCCAGAACTACGTGTAGAGATGACAAACACCTTGACAACTGTGTATCAACATAAAATCTTCATGATTACATGACAAATCACTTGAATTTCAAGTCTAAGGTACAACTTTTGATACAGTCCATAGAAGTTTGGAGAGAAAGGAAACTAGGAAACTGAAGTCATGGGGCTTATATAGAAGAATACATTATGGTTTAAACTTGGCAATTCATTATACCACTGCTCCAGGGAATTGACTACTTGGCCTGGTACACAGCAAATCATCTGTCCGGAAACATGGGACTGACTGAGGTGAAGGCCACTGCCAACGGTGGGGTTCATGGGGTTGGAGGGCCCAGAGGGAGGCCCAAAACTGTATAGCTGGCAAATCCATGCCTGGTGCCGGGGACACAGCGGGCAGAGCTGCTTTCCGGCTCAAAGAAGGAGTGCTTCGGTGTGAAGGCCTCCGGGGAAGCGGCCGAGGTCTGTCAACAGCAGTGCGGCCGTGATCTGACACGGCTGCAATGAAGAAGGTGGTCAACCATCAAGCTCCTTTGCAGACCAGCACAGGAAGTTCAGTGCAAAAGTCCACAATCACCAAGCCATCAGGAGTATCTACAGATCAGACCAAATGTTCATCTCCAACTGCATTTCTTAACATGCGAATATTTCTGCATGTGTGTGCAAGTACATAACTTATATCCTTTCATGGCAAACTCACCCAAAATAGAAATTCATAAATCACATTAACAATGCTGACAAATCTATGTGGGTAGTGAATGTTATTTATGAATGTAAGAATTAACTGATGTAAGAGTTGCAGGTCTCAAATTTCTTTAGTAAATACACTTTCAAAGCACCTAAATATTAGTGCAGTAGCATAGTTTCAAAGGCCTGGAATGCAATCTTTTATAAACCAAAATGATTTGTCTTATTTATCCCATTCACCTCTCTGTGCCAACCAACAGGGACTTTATCAAAGTTTACCTTCCCTCAATTATTACTGCACTTAGCACCCATCATAGAACTTCAGTAAATTGCACACTGGGGTACAAATGTAGAAGTAAAATGTTAACAAAAGAAAAGCAAATCACAAATTTTTTTAAAACAAAGGTTGTTTGGCTTCATTGTTTTGTTTTCAAATCCTGAAATAAGATCATATTACAACACAATTTATCTAGAGAGATTCAGATATGTCCCAGAACAAACTATGTTTCTGAAATGTGACTGGTACGTTCATGACAACCTGATGTCATGTCATTAACATACAAACAGCAACAATGTCATCATGGCTTCTTTCCTCCATACTTCATAGGGTAGAGGTGGACGGGTACCAGGTCTCCAACAGCTGGTATGTTGGCAAGTGGGAGGGAGTCCCCTCCCCACCCATACTGAGAGGGTTGAAACCCATCAGTTGCTTGGCCCCAGCTTGCTGCCTCCATCTCGTAGAGCAGTTGCTAAACCAGAGCTGTGCTGGCGCCTCGATGAGCTTTGCCCCCGGTGCCAATTCCTCCCTGGTATAAATGTCAGGGTAGTGGGTTCTCTCAAAAGCACGTTCCAGTTCCTCAAGCTGCTCTGCTGTGAAGGTGGCTCAGCTCCGGTGCTGTTTCCTCTTTAGTGGCAAATGGGGTTCAGAATCCACACCTGGGTCTTCATCCAACTGGGGTGCTAAGGTTTCAATGAAGGAAAACCAGAGCAGGCCGTCCTGAAATTTGTAAACTTATAAAAGTTGTATTAGCCCGACTTTGTGAAAAATACAGGGCACCCTCTTTGGAGCTTGCCGCTGCCCCTCCGAAGCATCAGCTCAGAGTAAGTGTTGTATCAACTAAAGAGCCTTAAAGGGGAAGAAAGTGTGATTTAAACAAACCCCTAGAAGCAGACATCCTGCTCGGCAGTTATTTCTTAAATGTAACATCAAAGCTCAAATAATAATAAATTGGACTTCATCAAAATTAAAAACATTTGTGTTTTGAGGGACACTATCAAGAGAATGAAAACATAACCTGCAGAATGGGAGAAAATATTTGTAAATCATATATCTGATATGGAATTGATATCAAGACTATATATAGAACTCCTAAAATCCAACAACTAAAAACCTAATTTGAATAACTTGCAAAGGACTTAAATAGTAAGTTTTCCAAAGAAGATATACAAATGGCCAATAATCCCACGAATAGATGCTCACTAGAGAAATGCAAATCAAAACTACAATAAGCAACCATTCCATACACAGTAGAATGGCTGTTATGTAAAAACAGAAACAAAGTATTGGTGAAGATATGGAGAAACTGGAACCCTTGTACATTGCTAGC